ATCCGAAATGGTTGCATCCCCATCTGAAATGGTTACTGAATATAACCTAGTGTAGATGGTGGATGTTATGATGGTTTCGGTGCTACAGCTGAAGACGAACTGGAAGCGCCTGTTCTCCATCCACTAGTCGGGAGACGGTACAGCTGTGACGGTGGATGCCTTTCTCGACGTCGATGAATATTTTGGGCTCGTGCTTCCTCAGAAAGTAGGAACGACTTACCGTTCGTGTAAAACCACTGGTAGTAGTCATCTGTAACTAAATACTGATCAACTTGAATCGTCTTTCTACAGGGAACACGTCCACGTCGATCTTCCCACATCATCATCCACTCGCTATGTTTCATCAGCCAATTGACTTCTTTTTCCCCGTCTATCGGTGTTATACAAATTGTCGAGATTCATAAGTGCTTCTGGAATAGATTATACGAAACCAAATTGCAAGAGCACGTGATCAGTCGGATGCCACTCTACAATAGCATAACATATTAGAAGGACCACCGCTATCCATACATCTAGTGCGCCACTCATATTAGGTGCGAAACAATGCCTCATTTCGTCAGTAGCATAATGACTCCATTGAAACTACAACAAATATATATAATTCTTATCAAAATAATATTTTAATTATATAATAATAATTAAAGGTAAATAACAAAATTTAAATACATACCCGTGTACCAACTTTTTTTTATCAATGAGTAATAGAATTTCTTCTAATTCGTCTTGTATTTCACGATGATCTTTCCTTACACATGACCACCTATTCAGTATAAAAAATATATTCATTATACACTCAAAAAAATTATTTATATACGAACTCGATATTGAAATTAGCTCAACAATAACAGGAAGACTAATGTGTTCTTCACCACCAGACATAAAAAGGGCATACGATACCATACTCATGACTGTAGAAGTGGGAGACATCCGCCGGTAGCATTTTTTCGATAATCAGTTGCTCGACACATTTCTCTATAGAGAGATGCCAAAACTGTGGAGCCCCAACTGAATGACTCGACAACTCGAAAATCGGCGAGGTGATGCAACCACATATAATGAATTTGGTTGCGAGATTTTCCGGGCATCAAGATCCCTCTTATGAGTCGTAATATGCAAGCCCGAGCAAATATTTTAGCCTCTTCCTCAGAACAGTCGTCGCTCAATTGTCGAAAATTTATAGCCAACCATGACAACGATATTCGACCACCGTTGAAATTAGGTGGGATACCTCCAAGATACTCCTCGCACAAGGAATGTCAATCACCATCCGTCACACCAGAAATAACATCCTCATCTACCGGAAGCCCCAAATGTAAGGAAACATCATTCAACGTAATAATACACTCTCCACACGGTAGATGGAATGTGTGTCTCTGGTCTCCACCTCTATACCAGTGTAGAAATAAGGTTGAATTCAAGGTTACAATGCCCTTCATATCTAGTTATGTAACCGAATCCAACCTCTGTTAAATACGACCAGACACGATTCAATATCTCTAACTTAGCGTTACGAATAAATGGATCTAATATACAGTCATTCCCCTAATTAAATAAATAGTATAAAAATTAAAATATAAACTAATACTAAAATATTAATAAATAAAACATTCAAAATAATTAACATAACATAATTACAAACTGTTATTGTATCCGTAAAATGGCTCGAGATATGATTTCTATCTAAAAGCAGCAACACATCTTTCATTTTATAACTGCAAAACATAAAAAAATTAACACAGTCAAATAATAGAATAATACACTATTTAATAATTATAATATAATAAAAATAATTTTACCTTCTAAAAATAATAACATAACATACTTAAAACTTGTTAGAAGGAATGATAAAAGTAAGAAGGATAATGTTTTTTTGGTGTGGTTTGAGAGTTGTGTGAGGTGGTATTTATAGGGGAGGAGTAGGTGGTAATTAAGGGGAGCGCAATCTTTTTAGGGTTTGAAAGCTCCATTGATTCGCCAAGGTTGGATGGAGAATCGAACATCATGAAGAAAACAGCGATGAATCAAACAATTAACAGTGACTTGCAACATATTCATATTCTTGAAAAATAGGTAATGAGGTAGTAAGCCAGCTCAAGAATGAATTAAACTTTACCGATTCATTTATTATTTAGTTATTGGATTAGCCCTAATATAACGCGCAGGTGGAATCGTTTGATTTTGAAAAGTTTGTTGAAGAAGTGTTGGAAGAGAGCAATAAGCTCTGTGAGGAAAGATTGGAAGCAGTAATCTCTATCGAGAATAAGTGAATGACATAGACAGTATTGCAGTAACTATCTACAACCTATCAGTAACTAGTCCATATGAACAATGGTACTTTCATCTTTACAAATCGATTCACTTTGGATGTTCTTTATATATACATATACACCATATAATTTCATTGTAGTTAGGAAAACAATTTGAAAATCGATTTCCTTATCGATTAGGATTTCAACACATTGTTTGATTAGTTTATATATATATGTATATATATATATATATATTTCATGCACCGCTTAATGAAACAATTTGAGGGTTGAATTAAAAGTTTTAAATTTTTTCAGGAGTTTAATAATAATTATTTAACTATATTTTATTATTAAAAATATATTATTCTTATGCATTTAAATTTTAATGTATATTTTAAATTTTTTATCTAATATAAAATATAATGTAGGACTTTTATAGAATATTACATGAATTTTGATATTATATATTATAATGTAATGAAATAAAGAAAATAAAGTTAGAAGAATAACAAGAAGCAAGAGATAAGAGAATATAAAAATATGATAAAAATGCACCAAACGTCCTTGTATTTTAGAAAAATCAATGTTACCTTCTATTTTTGTTCTATTTCAACTTAGAAAATAAACCTAATGTGATCTTTTGACCAACGTTTTTCGTCGTTGATCATTACCATACTAATATGATGGTTCACGATATTGACGTGATAATTCATGGTGATTGATAACGTGGCAAATAGGTTAAATTATTTTTTTGGTTTTGTTCGAAGGAAAATTGATTTTTTTAACTTCAAGGGTTTATTTAATTTTCTTTTACAAACTGAAAATTATTTTTAAATCATAAATATAAAATTATTCAAAGTATTCAAAAAATTAAATATAAAAATAATAAAAATTAAATTACTGAAAATTAAGTATACATATTAAAAATACTAAATCTATTATCAAAATTTTAAAAAAATGAATATATATATATATATATCATAGGTTATAAAACAATTACTTATAAATTATTTAAAAGTTAAAAAAATATTTTTAAAAAGATATATTATACATAACATTTACATTTAACATGTATGCATATCACCAACACTTATACAAATCATTCTTACTAGATTAATTGAGAATTACAAAATTTAAATTAGTCGAGACTTATAATTTTTGGATTATTCAAAACTTATTATGTTTTTCTAATTATCTTTTTAACTCTTCAATAATTTAAAAGATAATTATATAATAAGTTTCGACATAAAATAAAATTAAAAGTATAGCAAGTTTTGACTAATCCAAAATTTGTAAGGCTCGAATAATTTAAATTTTATAAGTCTCGATTAATCTAATAAGAATACTTTGTATAAGTGTTGTTGATGACCCTATATATCAAATGTATATATTATGTATAATATATCTTTTTAAAAATATTTTCTAATTTTTAATAACTTATAAATTATCATTTTATAACCTATGATATATATTCAAAACATTTTAATTTTTATAATAGTTTTAGTGTCTTTAAATTGTATATTCAATATATTTTTATATTTACTTTTTTAATATCTTAATAATTTTATATTTAAAATTTAAAATAACATTTTCTTTTTAAAGAAATTAAATAAGTCGAGTTTAAAAAAATCAATTTAACCTTTGAAAAAACCAAAAAAACTAATTTAATCCATCAGTAATGTTATATGTTACATCATTAACTATTGTAGATTGTCACGTCAGCACTGTAAACTATCACATCAACCTCGTAATAGTCAACGATGGAAAATATTGGTCAAAAGGCTACATTAAGTTTGTTTTCTGAGTTGGAAGGTCACGTTATGGGAAAAAACAATAAGATGATCACATTGATTTTTTTTAAAAGTTTAAGGGCTCTGATATCTTTTTACCTAAAAATTATAATATTATATATATATATATATATATATATATATATATATATTTCCAATCAAATTCTATAGGTATAGATATAAAGAATATATATTATATAAAATTTTAGTTCTAATAGATATGAAATTTATAATAATAAAATAAATTAAAATCTTATTTAATACATAAGTTTTAATTATAATTGACATTCATAAATAAAAATCATTCATAATATTTGTATCTAAATTTTTAATATAAGACACATGTGAGACAGATTTAATATAATTTGATCTTATTAACTTTTACAAAATACTGAAATAATTTTATCATAAACATAGGTACAAAAATAAATATTTTTACCCATTTTTTAATAATATCTATTTAAAAAAGTTAATTAATAATAACATATACATGTTTTATAAATATAATTAATCACACTCAGAACCTTAATAAAAACTTTGAATGTATGTGCGTGAGATAAGATCGGTGTTCTAAAACCAAAGTACAGGTGGAATTGGTGTGTTATCGGTGAATTGAACATAGTGCGAGACGTTTCCGAAAGAATCAGGCTGCTGAATGAGCACTGAGCTAAATCTTTTATCCTATATTTCTATTGCTTTGCTTATCCATTACAACACTTGAGGACCGCTCCTAAGACTTGTCTTCTTTACGGGCGTTGTCATAACAGCCCAACAAAGCCCCGAAATGCCGCCACGTTTAAACAAAACCTGGTCGAGTCAGTGCAATCGCGTCGGTTTCTCCAGTACTACATGCAACGTGGATTATCCACAAGTCTTCTCCTTTTTCGTCCCCCGCATCTTTAAAACCAAAATCTCTCCAATAAAAATGCAACCTTTTCTTTTCATTATGATTATGAGAAATATGATAGCTGTTTTGGCTTTGAGTCTTGTTCTACTGAGTTCACCGGCAGCCGCAGTGAAAGATTCCGTTATAGTGAAAGATGGTCATAGGGTCGTAGTCGTTGAATACGACGAAGATGGCAAACATAACACCAAAGTCTCCATCTCATCCCCGTCGCTACAGCAGCAGACAGAACCAAGGGAATATGTTGTGGACGGAACTACGAAAGAAGCAGCGCCCGCGCTTCCCAACGTTGGCCGTGACAAAGATGGTTCCCGGAAGCATTCACCGGGGGAACTTATCTGTGATGCTTTCGGTAAATGTACTCACATAACCTCCACAGCCTTTGGAAAAGCCAAAGATAAGATTTCAGAGACAGCACATGATGCTAACAAGGTTAAAGACGAAGCTTCAGACAAGGTTAAAGACATGGTTTCGGAGACTGCACATCCAATAAAGGGGGCTGTCGGCGATGCTATAGACAAAGCAAAAGAGGCGGTGGTGCAAACGGGCCAAGATGTTAAAGAAAGAGCGAAGGAGTCCATCGATAAGGCTAAGGACACTGTGAAAGAAGCAAAGGACAAGGCCAAGACGATGGGGGATGATATAGTGAAAAATGGAGCAGAGAGAGTGCAAAACATTCAAAAAAAGGCCGAGGAAGCACAACGAGCTACAGACAAGTTATTTGACGGCTTGAAGTACATCACTTCAATGGAGGCGCTGAATACAGTGATGGGTTTGGCTAACTTACTTGGATTAGCTACAGCGTATGGGATGAGTGTGTGGGTTACGTTCATTTCGAGCTATGTACTGGCAGAACATCTCCCGAGACAGCAGTTCGGAGTGGTGCAGAGCAAGATATACCCTGTTTACTTCAGGGCAATGGCTTATAGTATTGGGTTAGCTTTGTTGGGGCACTTTTTGTGGCACAGGAAAAAATCGATCTCAAGCTGGCCAGAGATGTTTCAATCTTTTAATCTTTTGTCATCCCTTTTCATGGTTCTGGTTAATGCACTGTATTTGGAGCCTAATGCTACTAAGGTAACTTGCTTAATTTCTTATGCTTCTGTCTGAATATTCAATTTTTGATACTTTTAACATATTGGATTTTCATTGCAGGTGATGTTTGAGAGGATTAAAATGGAGAAGGAAGAAGGGAGAGGAAGACCTGACTTTGCGGCAGAGGGGAGCAGGACCATTGAGACACCAAATGTTGCAGATCCAGCATCTAAAATTAGCAGGAAAGGCCCCTTACCGGCACCCGCAGCAGCACCCATCGGTTCGGAAGATGAAGTGATGAAGCCAAGAATGGTTAGGCTGAATATGAGGTTGAAGAAGCTAAACACAAACTCATCGGTGCTTAATATTCTCACACTAATGGCTCTCACCTGGCATCTTGTTTACCTTGGCCAACGCCTAACCGAAACCTGTTGATGAGATAGATGCTATATCGATACTTTCACTCTTGCGTTGTAACATAATTACTTGATCCTGTGTAAAGATTTAGTCTAGGACAGTTTGGTTTTGCAACACTTCTTTCCGTGTACCGTAAATTTTAATCTTCAATCCAACTTGTTGGTGTCGCATCTTTGAGTATTCCGTGTTTGTATTTTGTTACATGAATAGGTGAAGTTCATTCAAGAAACCTTTCCTGTAATTTTGGTTAAAACCAATACAAAAATGTTAAACTGTTTCTACGCAGCCATCCAACAACCAGCCTTTCGCAACTTCTATTAATCTTCTTCTCGGGAATGACAGAATAAAATGGATCTCTGGGAATTATATCCGACATTTCCACCTCTGACAAGAGCTTCAGTTGTTCTGTGGCAGTCAGGGCAGGGTCTCAAATATTTCATCAACCTAACAGGAGATCATCTTCGATAGCTAGTAAATGAAAACCCAAAGGTGATTGCTAAGTCAAACTGTGATAGTTCATCGCTGAGCTCCCTTTGGGTTTTGTTTTGGTTGAACTAGAAGCAGTGTTCTCATTAACATAACCAAATTCCTTGTCTTTTCCAAAATTTCTCCCAACCTCACTAGATTACTTGACTCAAAAGGTGAGACATGTCAACCGCAGAAAAGAAATGAACTATGTTTCCAACCTAAATCCAGCTAAGACCAGGCTCCTTCTTAACCCGTCGCTGTTGCATCAGTTCTCTGACTGCCAGTGTTTCTACAGCAGCATCAGCGTAGATGTTGTGAAGAAGAACATAAGATGCAGACCTTTGGGGTTCAATTACTTTCATTGCAGCACGTTTCCCAGTTACAGCATCCTTATAAACCCTGCAAGCACTCAATAAGGCTCGCCACATTATTGGATTATTCTTGAAACCCGATGTGAGGATGAAGTTTTCAGCCTCTGCTAGCCTTCCAGCACGGCCTAAGAGGTCAACAACACAGCAATAATGCTCTATGCTGGTTTCAACGTCATAATCATTCATGCTTTCAAAGTATCTGCAGTAACTCAAAAGGTTAACCACATAATTATCATGAATAAAAGCAAAGAAATAAAATCAGCTTGCACAGAAGCTTCTAAGATGACCGGCATAGAAAAACAGAATGCTTATGAGAGAAATAAAGCAGTTCAATAACACGAGAAAAGTGGACGTTGTGTAAACTCAAAAGGTAGGCACCGAAATGGGTTGTTTATTTCAAAGGTTGGCACCGCAAAAATGTTTTTCAACAATGGAGCATCATTTGTTGAAAATGAAAATGGGTAATTGACACATTTAGTTATTGTATTTTAGGGTATTTTCAAAGATTAATCCCTAAGCTTCAACTATAAATACCCTAGCTCATTTAGCTTCAAAATCATCCCAAAATCCCAAATCATTTCTTTCTCCTAATACTAGAGAGTTTTCTTGTGAGTAGTGTGTGTTTTGTAAACACCTGTAAATTTTCTCTCTTAGTAAAAGATCTGTAGCAGTCCGGAGACGTATGCATAATTGGCTGAACTCCGTTATCAATTTCGGGTATTATTTTTCCGCTTTTATTTCGCATTCTCACTAATCTGGTTATAGGGAAATTACTTGTTACTCGTTTATTTCCCAACAACTGGTAATCAGAGCTTTTGGTGGTGAATTTTGTCAATTTTTTGCGAAGTTATTATTCATTACTATTCACGTGAATAGTGAATTTCGTGAATAGTAAAATTTTGTCGGCGATACGAATTTGTCGACGGAGGTGTTCCTATACACAGTGGTTCGCAAGAATTGTCAGAAACGATCCAAATGAAGCCAGATTCGAGTGGGAGCGATGGCTGCAGACGAAGGGAATGTGAAAATTGAAAAGTTCGATGGTGCGGACTTTGGCTTTTGGAAGATACAGATCGAAGATTTTCTGTACCGAAAAAATCTATATCAACATCTCTCAGGAAAACAACCAGAGGGCATGAAGAATGAAGACTGAGCTCTTCTAGACAGACAAGCCCTCGGAGTTATCCGACTAACGTTATCCCGCAATGTTGCTTTCAACATAGCAAAGGAAAAGACCACGGCGGGTCTTATGGCGGCTCTCTCCAGTATGTACGAGAAGCCATCGGCCTCAAACAAAGTTCATTTGATGAGACGATTATTCAATTTGCAGATGGCGGAAGGGGCATCAGTGGCTCAACACCTAAATGAACTCAACACAATCACAACCCAGTTGATTTCAGTGGAAATTGAATTCGATGATGAAGTTCGAGCTTTAATTATCTTATCATCTCTACCAGACAGTTGGAATGCTACTGTTACAGCAGTCAACAGCTCGTCGGGAAACAGCAAATTAAAATTCGATGATGTTCGGGATCTGGTATTGAGTGAAGAAATTCGATGGAGAGAATCGAGTGAAGCATCAACCTCCTCAGCCTTGCACACGGAGTCCAAAGGGAGAACTTAAGAAAGAAATTCAAATCGCGGCAGATCAAAATCCAAAAGGGGCAAATCAAAAATAGGAAAGAAAGATTTTACCTGTTATAATTGTGGCAAGAAGGGTCACTTTAAAAGAGATTGTCGAGCACTGAAGAAAGATACTGGCGCACAGGAATCTGCCAACATGACAGAGGAGACATGTGATGCCATGATTCTAAGCATCAACAGTCCGATTGAATCATGGATCTTGGATTCAGGGGCATCTTTCCACTCCACCCCATGCCAAGAAATCATGGAGAACTATATCAATGGTGATTTTGGGAAGGTTCATCTAGCTGATGATGAAACCTTGAAGATCGTCGGAAAAGGAGACATCCGATTAAAGTTGCCAAACCATACCACCTGGACGCTGAAAGGAGTAAGACATATTCTTGGCCTCAAAAGAAATTTGATTTCTGTAGGACAGCTTGATAGAGAATGATATAACACAACCTTTTCTGGCTGTAAATGGAAGATTACCAAAGAAACACTCGTCATTTCTCGTGGTAAGAAGACTGGTACTCTCTATATAACCTCAAATTTAGAGAATATCATTGCAGTAGAAGATGCTGATGAAAAATCAAACCTATGGCACCAAAGGCTTGTCCATATGAGCGAGAAAGGGATGAAGACACTTTTGTCAAAAGGGAAACTGCCGGATCTAAAGAGTGTAGATGTCGGACTATACGAGGATTGCATCTTTGGCAAACAAAAGAAAGTCAGTTTTGCAAAGATTGGCAAGACACCCAAGGCAGAAAAGTTATAGTTGGTTCATATTGACGTATGGGGACCATCTACAGTTTCATCTCTTGCAGGCTCATTTTATTATGTCACATTCATCGATGATTCTACAAGGAAGGTGTGGGTTTATTTTCTAAAGAAGAAAACAGAAGTCTTTGATACCTTCAGAAAATGGAAGGCCATGGTGGAAAATGAGACTGGTTTGAAAGTTAAGCGGTTGAGGTCTGACAATGGAGGAGAGTACAAAAATAGAAGATTCAGAGATTTTTGCGCAAACAATGTGATCAAGATGGAGACAACAGTTCCCATGACACCGCAACAGAATGACGTAGTAGAGCGCATGAACAGAACTCTGAATGAATGTGCCAGAAGCATGAGGATACATGCCAGACTCCCAAATTTCTATGGGTTGAAGCTATCAACACTGCAGCTTACCTGATCAACCGTGGGCCCTCAGTTCCTTTGGATGACAGAATACCAGAGGAAGTTTGGAGCAAGAAAGAAATAAACCTTTCACACTTAAGAGTGTTTGGTTGTATTTCTTATGTACACATAGATTCTGCTGAAAGAAGTAAATTTGATGCCATGTCCAACAAATGCTTCTTTGTTGGTTATGGTGGTGATGAGTTTGGTTATCAGTTTTTGGACTATGAAAATCGGATGATCATCAGAAGTAGATATGTCATTTTCAATGAGAATATGATGTACAAAGACAGGTCAACCATGGAATCAAGTAGTTCCAACACCGAAGCTGAAACAATGGAATTTGTTGAGTTTGAGGAGATTTCTGGAAATGATGTTCATATCACACCTGAAACAGTTCAAGAAGAACCAGTCACACCAGAACTGAGACGCTCCTCCATAATTCCTAAACCAACCCAACGGTATTCTCCTTCTTTGCACTACTTGTTGCTGACTGACAATGATGAACCAGAGTGCTATGATGAAGCAATGCAAGTGGAGGATTCAGTCAAGTGGGAGTCTTCCATGAAAGATGAGATGGACTCGCTTATGTCAAATCAGACGTGGGAATTAGCTGAATTACCACTAGGCAAGAAAGCGCTCCACAACAAGTGGATTTATAGGATCAAGGAAGAGCATGATGGGAGCAAACGCTACAAAGAGAGATTGGTTGTCAAAGGTTTTCAGCAAAAAGAAGGTATTGACTACAATGAAATTTTCTCTCTAGTCGTGAAACTGTCTACAATCAGACTGGTGTTGAAAATTATAGCTGCAGAAAATCTACATCTTTAGCAGTTAGATGAAAAGACAGTTTTCCTTCATGGTGATTTGGAGGAAGAAATATATATGAGGCAGCCAGAAGGCTTCATAGAGGCAGACAAGAAAAATCTGGTATGCAGGTTGAAGAAGAGCTTGTATGGTTTAAAACAAGCTCCTAGACAGTGGTAAAAGAAGTTCCATAGCTTCATGGGTAGCAATGGTTTTACCAGATGCCAAGCAGATCATTGTTGCTACATCAAGAGGTTCGACAATAGCTTCATTATTTTATTGTTTTACGTTGATGACATGCTCGTTGCAGGCTCAGACATGTAAGAGATTATAAACTTGAAGCAAAAATTGTCGAAGCAGTTTGCTATGAAGGATCTGGGCGGTGCAAAGCAGATTCTTGGGATGAGGATCAAGAGAGACACAAAGTCGGGGACTTTGATATTATCACAGGCTGAGTACATCAACAAAGTACTCTCCAGGTTCAATATGCAATATGCTAAACCAATAAGTACACTTTAGGTGTTCATTTCAGACTCTCCAAAGAACACTCACCAAAGACGGAGGAAGAACGTG